GTTCAGCCGCTCGCAGGTTTTCCAGCTGGAATCCACCTTCGACATGAAGCGCTACCTGAGCAGCTCGGAGCGGGCCGGCCTGGCCGCCTCGCTGCACCTGACAGAGACCCAGGTGAAGATTTGGTTCCAGAACCGCCGCAACAAGTGGAAGCGGCAGCTGGCAGCCGAGCTGGAGGCGGCCAACCTGAGCCACGCCGCGGCGCAGCGCATCGTCCGCGTCCCCATCCTCTACCACGAGAACTCGGGCGCGGAGGGGGGCGCGGGGGGCGGCGGAGCCCCCGGCACGCAGCCCCTGCTCACCTTCCCTCACCCGGTCTATTATTCGCACCCCGTGGTGACCTCCGTGCCGCTGCTGAGGCCCGTGTGAGCCCGGCCGGAGCTGCGCGGAGGGGCGCGGAGAGGCGCGCAAGTCACCCGGCCGCTTGTAAGTACTGCAGCCCCCCGTGCAACACACCGGGACTGCGGGGACAGCAGAGCGGGGCTGGGGGGAACCCTCCGGAGGGTGGCGGTAGGAGGAAAGTCGCGGAAATTTAAGGGGGAGGAAATAAAAAAATAAAAAACAAACAAACAAAAAAAATATAAAGAAAGAAATAAAAAAGAAAAATGTGGGGGGGAGGGAAACGAAAATGAGGAAAATGAAAGCGGGGGATTGTAGAGAACCCTGGAGCTGTCACACCTTTTGTAAACGTGGATGAAAACCGCGATGGTCTCTCTGTGGCTTTAGTTTTATTTTTGTAAAAAAAGAAAAGAAAAAAAAAAAAAGAAAAAAAAAAAGAAAAAAGGGGGAAAAGGGGAAAAAAAAAAAGGATAGTAATAAAAACAATGAATGGTCCCAGGCCTCTCCTCGAGATTTGCCAAACACTAATGGGAAGCTGAATTTCTGTTCCTTTCGGACCTCTCCTTCTGCCTCCAAATAATTGTTCAGGCTCCTGATCCTGTCGTGACTCAAACTTCATCGACCACGGCTTTTCATTTAAGCAGACCTTTGCCTCTTTGCTTGCCCACGTTTTGTACTTTTTGGTTTCTGTCATGAGACTTTCACGAGCAAGAAATACAGCCTCAAAGTGAACGGTTAAATACACTCGCACGCTTTGAGTGACCCTTATTTATTATCGTTTACTTAGACATTTTTAATTCTTGTTTATAATTCTTGTTTTCCTAGTTGTCGGGTTGTTTCGGGGTTTTTTTTCCTTGTAAAGTTATTTCGGTATCTGGGTGGGGAAAAAAAAAAGTCTGTACCCTTTTGCTTTCTTTTGTAATACTAATTATTATTATTATTATTATTAATATTATTGTACTTTTGAACTGTGCAATATTGTACGACGATTCTTAAAGCACTGCTTTTATTTGAATGGTGAGGAAAGGGTTTTTAGCATTGTAAAACTGCGTTTCTTCATGTTGTGCAAAATAAAATAAAAAAGAATTAAAAGCGAAGGAAAGTGAGAAGAGAGGAGCAAGGCATGGGAATTAGCATCAGCCCGGCTTATGCGAATAAATAAAGGAGATTCGGTGAGCTGGGCGCTTTAAGTGAAGGACAATCAACTTTAGGGTAATTTTAATTTATTTGATATGATGTACAGTTTTCTTCTAAAGTCCATTGAGTATGTGGATTTTAATAGGCAGAAATCAAGTGAGGAGTGGACACCTCTAGTCTCTCTCTGTCTTAGTGTCTGCTCACCTGTTGTCTGACGATTGTTTGCTGTCTTCCCAAGGGTTTGGGTTGGTTGGTTTCTTTCCTTTGTTTGATTTTAAATTTTGTTCTCCCCTTTCGGTTGTACCCTCTGTCCTCTCGCTTTCTGTTAGGGATCGGTCCTATTTTTAAAACAGCCTATATTGTTATAAACTTAATGTTGTGGTGGAAAAAAAAAAAAAAAATCAATAAAACCCGTTCCTTATCATTTTTAAAGTGTGGTTTCGGGCGGGAAAAATAAAAAAAAAAGAAGAAGAAGAAAAAAATAAATAAACAACAGCACTACATGAAAATAATAATAAATAAAAAATAGAAAGAGCGAAAGAAATAAGCCGAGGGTTGTCTGTGAGCGCCGGGGCTCGGAGCCGATCCCTGGATCCCGGGCATCCTCCGCCGGGAAGGGATGGGCAGCGGGGGATTTTTGGCAGCCCCGGCAGCAGCGGGGTGGCGGTGCCCGGGTTCCCCCAGGGAGGGGTCGCAGCCTCCCGGGGAGCCCCCCGGGACCTCGTGGGGACAGCGGGGGGGTCCCTTCCCCACTGGAGCCTCCCCTCCCCTCCCCTCGGGCTTCCCCTGAACTTCTGCTCCCCCCCGGTGCTGCCCCTGCCTTCCCTTCGCCCCCCTCCTCCGGGGGCTGCCGCAGGGTGTCCAACCCCTCTGCCCACGGCCGGAGCCGTGTTCAAACCCCCGGCAGGGTTATTTGGAGATAGGATCGCTCTCCGCTTGCCGCAGATTGGCCCGAATCGACGTGTTGATAGCGCCGAGGGCAGGATTTGGGGCCAAAGAAATCAAAATAAAACCCAGCGTTGCGAAAAGATAATCCCGCGTTTTCTTTTCGTTTGGGATAAAAACCCTGGCAATGGGTCGTAAATGAAAAATAAACAGAGTTTCGGGGTCAAAATACGGTGGTGGCTGTATCGCCTACAAACAGAGCGATGCCTTTGCTGTTTGCAGTACCAACTTTGGGACAAGTCGCTCGCAACCCATTAAAAATATTGTTGTCATAGTAAATACGTCTTTCCATTTTACAGCGCGGCAGCACGATGTTATCAAACGGCAAGGAAAAAAAAGCTCATTTATTTCTGGTCAGTGCTCAGAAAACGATTCTGGAGCCTCCTGGCCCTTCCCCAGCAGAGGAAGGAGCCCATGGACACCAGCGCGGCTGCGGCCCCGCAGCGCGGATTTTGCGCGCCCGTCCCGGGACTGCCAGGGGCGTTTCCCAGGGGATCGATGATCTTGGAAGGGTTGATGAGGCTCGGCAGGATTAGGAATTTTTTTTATTTTTATTTTTATTTTTTTTTAATTAAGGAGAGAAAAAAAAAAATAAGAAGAAACTAAGCAGTGTAAACGGATGCCAGGTTTTCTGCTTCCCGCTGCCCCTGCACACCGCGGGATCGACAGCAGGCAGATGCTGTGAAAGCTGGGGTGAAGCTGGGTCTGTGAGCCCGGTGTGAGCTCGGTTCTCTGCCCCCCGAGCCGCCCCTCTCCCGCGGCCGGACTTTTCCCGCAGCCCGGCCGGGAGGGATCGCTCGGAGCGGGGCGCTCCTTTCTGTCCGCATCGGCAGCAAGCCGAGCCTGGCGCTCAGGCTTTTCTCAAAGAGTGTCCCCAAACTCCATCCTATCCCTCAGCGAAGCGGAACGCGAAGCGAAGGGTTCCGTTTGTCCCTTGGAGGGAGATGCCGGCGAGCGAGGGCTCCGCCAGCCCCGGCGCTCCCCGCTGCCCTGCGCCGCTCCCGGCCGGGGGCAGCGGGACACGAACGGGCTGCCAAGGGACCCCCCACCCCCTCCTCCCTCACCTTTGGCCCCCCTTAAAATTTCTGGAGATCCCGCATCACCCTGGGATGGAGTAAAAGCAACGGCTTTGAGTGGCGGATAGAAAACTATCTTTACACAAACAAAATCTGTCTGCCGGGGAGGGGGGTGCGATTCAAAGAAAGTTGCTTCGATCCTCTGGGCTGTTGGCAACTCCGCGACCACTCGTGTTTACTGCTGCGTTCATCTCGGCAAATCTGTGCCTTTGTTTGCAATTCCAGAGATAACGCGCTTCTTCTCGGCCACTGTTTTGAGCCGGGCTGAACAGAACTAGCTCGCCTGTTTGTGGTCGAAACACACATGTATTTCTTTTATTTGGTAGTAAATAGGGGGTTGCTGTGTATAGCAAACAGCGGGGGGAAAGATATAAACTTCCCGGCCAGCAGATTTGGGGATTGAGAAGTTCCAGAGGGCTGGAGCGGGGAGCGGGGGGCTCGGAGCTGTTCGGCCCCTCCAGCAGCCTCACGCTCCCGGTGACCCACGTTGGGAGGTTGGTATTTTTTTATCCTAATAATTATTGGTAATTTTTTTTTTTTTGTTTTTTAGCCGAGTATTTTAAAATTTTCTGGTACAAATCGGTGGGGTTTGTTTGGGAAATGTTGTCGGTGCAGAACGGGCGGCAGAGGTGGGGACACGCTGAGCCGCTCCGAGGGAATAATCCCACTTTAAAACAGTGGTGGAAAACCCTGTGGGTTTGGGTTTCAGGGTTGTTGGGTTTTTTTTTTTTCCCCAAATATGCTGCAAGTGTCTCTGTAATAATCACTTTACTCTATCGACTTGGCATAGTGTGCTAACGGAATGAGAAGACCATTAAGAGCATTAACAGATTGGTACAGCATAATGCTTCAGTTCATATTGATCGTAAAACGTCTGTAAAATATTGTTTCAAATGAATCTATTGTTCCTGCGCTCTTTCGGCGCTGTTGATGACCTTGGTTTGTTCTCCCACATCCAAATTATTCTTCCGCCGCTCCCGTACGATTGGGGACGGGCCAGCGGGACCTTCACCTATCCAAAAGCGTGGTTTGAGGGGTCGGAATCACCTCAAAAATAAGAAAACATTAGAAATCGTTTCTGTAGGAGGGAAGGGAGCCGCTGTGAGTGCGCCCTGCGTGCGGGGAGCAGAGAAAACCTCTCCCGGGATCACCTCCCCGGGAAGCCCCCGGAGCTGCTCAGCGGAGCCTTCCGAAGCTGTTTAGGTGAACATCAAGTGGAAGGGGATGCAGATCCTGCGGGCAGCCCCCAGCCCACATCCCGCGGTGTCCCGGGGGGACCCCGAGGAGCGCAGCCCGGGGCCTTTGGTGACTCTGCCGAGCTGCTCGTGCATATTTTACCGCCCAAATCAGCCAATCCCTCTGGATCTGAGCGATGCCTCGGATTTCAAACTCCCTGGCCCCGCTCCCTGCCTCGCTGGAAGGGGTGGTGGCACCGCTGTCCCCCCGTGGGGACACGCGTGTCGCCGGGCAGAGCTCGGAGCGGCCCCGGCGCTCGCTCCCGAGCCTCTGGGAAAGCTCCGCTTCCCTCAGGTTTGGTCACCTGGTCTCGCAGCTCTCCTGAGCTCCGATATTTTAAATAAATATAAAGAATCTCTTGCTCTCCTCAGCTCTATTCGCCTTCATGATAGAGTGGAACCATCAGATTTTCATCAAAGTTCTATTAAGTGAAACATAGGTTGCAGGGCACCCTCTGATTGAAACAGTTTAAATTTTAATTGTGTTTTTAATTTGACATATAGTTGCAGAAAGGAATGACACTACAACGCCAAGGGGCGGTCGATTTTCTTAATTTCTCCCAGAGGAATTGATGAGTCTATCAGGCCACTAGATTGGAAACACATTAAAGCTCTCTGGTTAGGTTGTTAATTGGAACTTGATGGATAGGGGGCCTTGGATAGGCTATGCTGATCCAATCTTCATGACTTTCTGTTTTCCAATAAATTACACGATTCATTTTCCAGCCACAGATTACATAAATTGTACACCTCTAGGGCTCTCTTTTTCAAATAGGGAGCCCTTTTCCCCAAAAGCCTATTGCGAGATGTCATTTGCACCAAAAAACGAGCAGCAGAGCCTCTTGAATGAAAATCGAAACATAATCAACGTTTATACTTA